GAAAATCGAATCAGACGGAAAGAATGAAAACAATGTACATACCTGATTCAAGTGGACTTAGAGCTTCTAATCATGTTGTTGAGGACGTTGATGTTACCAGGACCGTTGGCAAAGATGAAAATGAAACGTATGTTTATCTGAAGGTCCCTGATATGAGTGATGCTGTTAGAACGTTTAGTGAAAGCTGTCGCCATTATGATGAAATTGGCATTGAAAAAGATGAAATTAAAGCCTTCGAATATCATCAGGACTCTGCTGATGCAGATGATACTGATAAAGCATCTGAAATCGGACATTGCTATCATCATGAAGGTGGAATTGAAAAGAATGAAAAGAAGGCGTTTATGAATAATCAAAAATCTAAGGATATGGACGATGTTGAAGAAATGACTAATATTAAGGAACAACATCGAAGTAAAGAAGCAATGGTGTTAATGGAAGCATCACTGGATGTGATTACAAAAATGGATACGTTAATGGAAGGTTTAACGGAAACGTTGAGGAAATGGGAAAAATTGAATAATGCCGATGAGTTCAAAGTTAATGACGATGGGGGTGAAGCTGCAGAGGTAGGGCAAATGAATTTGAAAAAGGTGAACAAAAGAAGGTTATTTATTGTCAGAAAATTGATTATGAGAGTTGCAATAGCGAATCACGTGACCTTGGATTGGATTACAAAAATAAAGTAAGCGTTGGATTAAAAGGTGCATTTCTGGAACATCCAAATATGATGCGAACATGGAAGGGCGTGCAAATGTTAAGCATAATGTGAGGAGTTTTGTAAGGTTAAATGGGGCGAACTGCCGAAAGATGAAAACAGGTTGTAGTAGAAAAGTCATAGAAAGTGCATTGCGAAGATTGAATCGAAACCCAATGATATTTGAAAACGTTGAAAGGATGGGATTTTTCAAACGACTATATTTGGACCATATGATTGGGAATGATGGATTAGTTAGTGAGTATTTGGTAGTCGTTTTGAAATAAGGAAACTTGGTAGGATAGATTTGAGTTGTTGTAACTTCGAGACGAAGTTACTGGGGTTCTAGCTCGTGTCGCGGTGCTACACGGTACCCATGTGACTAGTAATCGGATACGTGTTGATCGGTGATCTAATTAATGCATAATATATCGGGTGATCACGATTTAATTAAAAGTCTAAAGTAGTGAT